CCGGCTAAAGGGGTGCAGTCTCACCTCCAGTACCTTCCATTTTCAAAGCAGTTGCACTTGCATAAACAGTCTTTATTGAAATCATTCAGCAAATGTACACCATCGTAGAAATTCCAATGTGCAAAACTCTAATATATTTCACCACTCTGGCTTAGAGAAACTATGATTTTTATCAAGTCCCAAGTGGTGACACGCATTAGTTTTGCACATTTGGATTACTACAATGTTGTACATTTTCTGATTTCAATGAAGGAAAAAAAAACATTTATAAAATTACCCGTGGAGTGTTGCTGCTTTAGAAATGGATACTGTCTGTATTAAAGGTGTTTGGGCATAAATCTGCAGATCAGGGTGCTTCCTTAATATTGCAGATGGTTCTGGTTTGCTAACAAGTGGTAGCGGCTTGACTTTTTTTTTAGCTGTCAGGTTCTTGACACTCCACACGGTAAACAGATTAAAATAGCAAAATCAGTCCTGAACCTAGTTATGCACTAAAGGTAAACTTCAGATAACTGTAAAATGGTCTTCCAAATTGCAATGGCAATTTGGATGGTTTTTCAGTAAAATGCCTCTTTTGCTAAAACCACAATTGGTGACTTGGTACTGTTTGCAAACGCCTGTAAACAAGCTTGAGCATTTTTCTACGTCAAAATTAAAGTGCCATTAACTCTGAAGTGAAACCCTCAAAATGCATTAAAGTATCTTATTTGTGTATCATTCAGCTGTAGATCCTCATTTTCTGAATCCATGCTGACTGTCAATCTGGAGGGTGTCTACATTACCCCACACTGGGACAATGGGGTCCCAGTGTGTGTGATAATGTAGACACCGTTCCAAGCTTGCTCTTGTGATGGACTACAATCTCGCATTGAGTTTACTAATTTGTATTCGGTTGTAGTCTGTCATGGGAGTGGACTTGGAGAGGTGGCTACTTTACAACACACATGGAGAACAAAAGTAGTCACCCTCCAGAAGGAAGGGCAGTGCCAACATGAATTCAGAGATTTGAGAATCTACAGCTGAGTGATGCACCAATAAGATACATTTTTGTTAATAGTTAAGGTACTTTTTAGTTTGCTTCAGTTTTTTTTATATTAGGAAGAAATTGAAGTTGGTTTTTCACCAAGATCTGTCTGCTGTGGTAAAGTATCAGCTTCTTAGTGCCACTGTTTGTTTCTTTTTCAAAGCTTAACTGAACAAATTGGAGAGCAGCTGATTGGTCACAATTGGCAACTTTGACACATTGTCTGCTTTATTACTTATATTAACTGCACATTTTTGTAATCTGTGTTTCCACCCCCTCCAAAAGTAGCAGAAATGCATTAAAACTGGTTGAAAAAAAAAGCCACTGTTTATCAAGCACCCACAGGGATCAATAGGTGCTGGAAAACTAGTTTCTGGTTGCTTGAGAGTTGATAGTAACTGGCTATTGTGCCCACCCAGTGAGCAGAGTATCAGACCTGAGAGAACTCTCCTAATGTTTACATTCTGCTACTGACTGCAGAATCCAGCCAATTTTGTTGGCAAGTACATTTGATTGCTTCCTCCTTGACGTGACCACTTTTTTTTTTTTTC